CAGGGTTACTCAGTGAATTGAAACATCTTAATGATGTAGGCGGTTTGTAATTATTTTTGTGACAATTTCAACTAAAAGCATTTTTAAAGCTTGAGCTCAGAATGAAAACATTCTCTGCTGGTGTTGCCTTCAATTTCAACGATTAAAGTATTGCTGATTTATAAACTTTTAAGGACTCTGGCCTCATTTTCCAATTGCCTAATAATAGTCTCTACAGGGGAAAAAAAAGAGTTGCACATTGGGGCCGTACAGAACCCCCTACATAGCAGACTCCAAGGAAGTTCCCCAAGAAAATGAAGACCCCGATGGACAATTCTCCCACCTGTACACCATTACTGGATCTTGCATCACCACTTCTGAACCCAGGATCAGATAACTACCACCCTGCCCCTCAACCCCACTTCCCCACTTGACCACATATTCCCCTGCCCATCCTGAGGTACCTAAAACACGCAATCACTTATCTGGCATGCAACACCCGAGTTACCTAACCTCTCACTGAACTTTTACACATACCTTTTCAGAGGAACTATCAAAGTGGCTGTCTGAGATGCTTTTTATTTCAAAAATATACTTTTCACAGAAATATCTTTTATATATACACACACCCAAAGTCACAAATGCAGTTTGGATCTGTATAGTAGCATATCAAGGAAACAAGCAAACATTGGAGTTTGACTCTATCCAAACAAACCAAAAGCATCCCTTACTTGTGCAAGATTATATTCCTGTACATTTGAGATGCTGGGAGGGTCCATTAACTGAATGGACCCCGATTTAACTTCAGCAGGCGTACCTTAGACAGTGATCTTTCCCCACTGCGCCTTGGTGGCAGCTGCCCCAAGCTTTACTGCATCCCTCAATATGTCGTCCTGGACTTTAGAATGTGCCAGTTTGCAACTTTCGGTTGGGGTCAACTCCTTGTTCTGGAAGACCAACAAGTTTTGGGCAGACCAAAGAGTGTCCTTCCCTAGGTTGATGGTCCCCCAGGCACAGCCCATGTTTGTCTTGGTGCGTGTCCCAGGGAACAGACCGTAAAGTACAGAGCCCTGTGTCATGGAGCTGCTCTAAATGAACCTCAGCAAAAACCATTGCATCTTTCTCCAGACTTCCTTTGCAAAGGCATATCTCAAAAAGTGATGTGTGACAATCTGTATCCACTGGCAGCATCTTAGAGGGCAGTGTGCGGTTTTCCAGACAGACTGGGTGTACAAGAAGAATTTCACAGGTAGTGCCCCTCTCACCACCAGCTAAGTGACGTCCTGATAGTTGTCGGAAAGTTCTGGTAATGAGGCATTCTGCCAAATGACTTTTACAGTCATCTCATTGTTTTATCACAGACTACAGCAAGTACTGCCATGAAAGAAAGGGGCTATTGCCTTCTTCTGACTATCCTTCATGATGAGGATATAGTTAAGTTGAAGGTACCCTCCACATTTCTGCAGGAGCTGTCATCAGAGCCTCCTGCCAGAATTGTGGAGTTCACTCTTCATATTAAAAAGATAGGAGCAGATTGCCACTGCTCGGAAAATCTAGCCCAATTTTTTCTCTGATTCTGTGCATGTGTTTAGGCAAATTTGTAATCATGTTTGTAAATATGTTTCCAGATTCCTGCAATCTGTTTTGTTTCATAGAGTGTGGCTTCTGTGTGAGGTTTAACTAGAAGAATATTGTAGTGTAAACAAAGTGTAGTTTATTGCATCTTTGCAGCAATTTACAATTTGGAAGAAAATTGTACATTACTTCAAAGACTGCTGGGAGTACATACCCTTAGCTCTGTCTCCCATGAGACCCTGCTTTATTCTCACTCAGTTTTCTTGACATTGTCATAGTTGATTCTGATTATTGCACCCAAACAATTCTTGAGCCTTTTCAGATCCTTCCAGATCTGTATACAACAGGAAGAAAAACACTCGTGGTTTCTACTGATTTTGATTTTTCTATCGTTGAATAATTCATAGAACTGGCAGAGCCATGGTTACCAAATCTGAGTTTTCAAGTTTGGATGGTCTGTATTTTCAGCTGGAGTTCTCTGTGAAAAGCAGCTCCATAACCATCAGTCTTTTGACTCTAATTTTCTGGCATTTGCACTTGGATTAAAATTGCATGCGTTGTGTGATTTCTGTAAGTAGCTGAAATGCATTTGATCATGAATTTGCAATTCTTGGCTGAACTGTGACCCAAAATTGAAGCCCTCCAGTTTAATACTGATCCCAGAATTGAGAAATAACATCATATGCTGTGGTTGTGTAGAAATGTATTTTTCCTACTCTGGAATTATACCATTTTAATGTCTCAATTGTGCAGACAAAGTGCTGGAGAAAATGTGGAATGGAGAGAATAACAGTTAATGTTTCAAGTCCAATTAGAATAATCTTAATTATCATTGTAATATCATTGGCTTATATTACACATTCTGTTATGATCTTGTGTACTTATAACCTGTGTAGAAAAAAAAACTATTTTTAAAAATAACTTCAAATTAACTGAAAGGATTGTACAACAAGGTTCACCAAAACCTCAAAAAACTAAAAGCACAACCAACTAAACACTCTCAGCAACATTTACTTTATATTCTTTACAATAGACCAATCCCCTTATTCTTTTACCACAATTGAAAGTACACTTCATGGGTATACTTTATAACTTCCTTTTAAGTCGGCATTCAATTCTTCCTCGAACCAAATTACGGTGATCCTTGGCTCCTGGTTGTTTACTTTTGTTCTCTTTACTTTGAGAGCTTTTAATCTTAGAACTCTCCTTTACAATGAGATTTTTTTTTCCCCAATGATGATTCGTCTCATACAAGAATCTTGCAGGCTTGTTTAAAATCTTCAGGAATTTGAGGTTTTCGATCTAAGCATGAACTACGACCCATCTTTCTTTATGGTGAATCACAAAGTCTTATTGTCAAGTCTTACCTGTGTTTCTCAGGATATCTCAGACCTTCCTCCCCTCAAAATCTGACTGTACAGAAGTGTGAATCACATGGGCATAGTGTCAAGGAAGAAATGCTGATGAGGTATATCAGAGAATCTAACTTCCTTTATTATCTTGAAAGTAAATGGACAGTTTAAAATACCATGTTTACAACCTGATATTCTCGGCATTTTTCTGTGACTTCTGAGACTCGGTCTACCTCCTTTTAGCACGTAGCTGCTGCCATTGCCTCCAAGTGTAAACACCTTGCTCTCTTTTCCCAGTAAAGCATTCTGTGCTACCTTAAATCTCTAACAATCAAACCACCCACCAATTGTCAGCTGAACTTCAGAGCATGTCACATGCTAACTATGAATTTCTCTGAAAGAGTCCCAAAGCAAAAGTTTTTTAAGCCTCGTAATTGCAAAACAGTCCTGATTTGTGTAGCATATTGGGAAATACCAAAATAGCCTATTGTTAAATATTTTGGAAATAAAAATTAGCAAGGCTAAGTTGTTGTGATAATTGGATTTTAATGCAGAAAATGTGTATCCTTTTGGAGGAGCATAAAATTGCTATTTTTGACAAGGGTAGATCAAGTTCCACAGAAGAATGATCATAATGAACCGCACCCTTGCCAAATCAACAAGACTTAATAGGTTAAAAGCTGAAAGAATTGCAGATGCTGTAATTCGGGAACAAAACCAGAAATTGCTGGAAAAGCTCAGCATGTCTGGCAGCATCTGTGAAGAAAAATTGGAGTTAACGTTTCAGGTACGATGACCCTTCTGCAGAACTCTTCCTCAGTTCTTTATAGATTATTTAATTGAAATACATTTGAGATGCATCAGTTGTTGAGTTGGTCTTGAGAATGCACATTGTCCTTGGAACAACAGGACATAAGGAATGAGACCTCCTAACCAAAGTGCTGTTTATTTCCATCTTTAGTTACCGGTTGGGTAAATAGTTTCATATCAGATGCTGCACAATTCTTTGTCTCGAGTGATAATGATTCTTAATCAAGTTTTGAAAAACTTAGGTCAAGATTTTATCACTTGAAATATCTCAATCAACAGAAAAAATTACGTAAATAATTAATGTCCTGGTTATTGCTGAGAGGAAAAATGCAATTGATATTGCACCTTTTACAACTTTAGTCTACTGTAAAGTGTTTTACAGCTGTTTGAATAGTTTTGAAATGTAATTACTGGAGGGACTAATTTCTGGACAGTAAGGTCCCACAAAGAGCAAAGTGATTATTTGATGACTTCATGCTTGAGAAATGTTTCTGCTCTGCATTGCCACCTATAATCAAACCCAAACTTGGAAATTATGTTGGAGTAGCAATGAATTAAAATCTGAGCATATGAAATCAAAAGATACAGAAGAAAAGGGGAGAATAATTGTCTCTCTTGGATATTTTGGAAAACAAATAACTCTAATTGTAGTTTTAAGACCAAAATTTGACAAATGGAATCCTCCATCCTTTACTGACCCATGGCTTGAAGAACAAACTCTTGCCACCATATTATGTATCAAAACTTGATTTTGTTGATAAGAATTGAAAAGCCCTGCTTTTAATGAAGTAAATTTGATGCTCAGGTCATGTTTGTCAAAATGCATTTTTATGAAAGCTGTGGATGACAGAAATTGGAAATAAAAACAGAATGTGCTAGAAATGCTGAGCAAATTTGGAAGAATCTGTGATGGAAAAAAAGTAATTTTTTGGAACACAATGAAATCTTATTGATCTGGGTTTTCACTCTGTTTCTCCCTCCCATAAATGTTGCCAGACCTGCTGAGTAATTCCAGAATTTTCTACTGTTAACAAAATTTTCATTTTAATTCCTATTGCACAATGCAGTTGGACTGATTTAAGGTCATCCAAATATGAAGAAAAATGTTTCACTCAAATGACTGATCAACATGTATATTTCTAAATCATGTGAATGTTAAATTGTGGTGGCTAAATGCTTCCAGTGCATGGAAAACCATTACTCTTACAATGTCATTTAATTATACTTTATAATTTGTAATATTTTTCATGCAATAAATAAACATTTCAATTTCCTTCTTTTCAGTGATAGCTGGTTTTCGAGGAACAGTTCCTCATGGCTTACCATTGGAAGTGGGCGACACAGTTCAGATACTGGAAAAATGTGATGGTGAGTTTACCAGTAAACTTCCTATTCTGGAAAAGCTTTTGTAGATTAGAATTTGTTTTCACCTGTGTCCACACACACATCTGATTATAGAGCTGACTTTATATTAAAGAAACTACATCACCGAAATTTTCAGCTATTGCTGCAATCAGCAATCCAATGCAAATCATTCTCAAAGTTGCCCCAAAGTGATTTCTTTTCTCACTCAGGTTTCTGCTCCAACATTTATATATTGTAGACTATAAGATTGTGCAGAGGAATCAATCCAGCTACATTTTAGAACATAAAGATATTGTTTTAAAATTTCAGTAATGTTTATTTAAATATTTGAGTAGGTTTAATAATACGGGTGAAAATAGATTTGCTGGAAGAAATAAGGATTTTTACAACACAGTCCCTTGTTTACCGTCTGTAAGTAACTTGATTTTAAATAACTGAAATTGACTGTTAAAACAAAAATATAGAGAGCCATGTTTTATTTGCTGTTCTCACTACCAGAGGAAAGTAGATAATGTTTAATATTTAAATCTTGTAACAGGGTGTCCATTAATATCCTTGTGCCTAAACACGAGCCTCTTCAAAGCCTCTCGATTGGCACAATTAACAGAAATGGGTCATTGTGACCAATTAAATCTGGGAGCAAAGCTGGTGTTCAGAGGGGACTGGCATCAGCACAAAAGGACTTGGGAGCTTAGTTTAATTCTGTTTGTGATTTGTGGTTGAAATTCCTGTATCTTGTCTGTGGGCTGACTAATTTGGGTAAATTGCACTAAACAACGCAAACTCCAGGTCAATGTCTTAAGAATGTTTTCTTTTACTGATTTATGGTAGTGTGCTTCCTGGAACGTGATTAAATTACATTGAAGTTTATTTTTCCTGTGCAATTTGAGTTTTTAAAACTTGTTACTAACAGTTTCAGTTCAAGAATATAATCTGAAAATGCAGCATCCGTTTCCATCAGTATATTGACAACATTTGCCGCTTGTCTCTAAGTTATCAAACTCTGTGTGACATCCAGTACTCTTTGAGCAGAAAACTCCTCCAATTAAATATTCAGAAGACCCAACACCATTGGCTCTGCCAGATTCCCTACACACTGAGTCCACCCTCTTCCTGGCAGTTTTCACAGAGCTTAACCCACACTGTCCGCAGTCTTGCTCTCATATTTGGTTAATCTTCGAGCCACACAAATGTGCCAGTGCTCAGCTTTGAACTCTATTGTATCAACTGACTGACACTACGTAAACTCACTTGCTACTGAAACCCTCACTGATGTCTGTTTCCTCTTGATATCAAAATCCTAGCCAGTCTGACACTTTGTGCCTCCTCAGTTGAGGGTCGTTGAAACTTTTGCCTATGTCCTTTACATTAAAGACACAGATGAGGAAACTTGGCTGCATGTGCACCAAGTCCCATTCATCTGCCACATCTGTACTTATTGATCAACATTAGATCCCTAGTTGTCACCCAGTCAGTTTTAATATTTTCACTGTCATCACGTTTCTCCATAGCCTTGTCCCTGATCTCTCTCACTCCCCTAAATTCTACAATCCTCTGAGCTACCTGAGCACTGATTCTAGCTCCTTGGACATTTCCAGTGGAAATCATTTTGCCACATGTAGCTGCTGTCAAGGCCGCAAGCTCTGAATTTCTCACCCTGTAACATCTTTCATCCTTTAAGATGCTCCTTAGAATTTAACTCTGACAATGCTTTTCCATCGTCTGTCCTACTATCTCTTTGTGACTTGATAACTTGAATGTTGTAATGCTCCTACATTGAGTTTACCTCCAACACTTTTTATTTAACCTGATGTAGCAATGCTAATTTTATCTCCTGTAACATAAGAAACTGGCTGTGGATATTGTAGTATTGAAAGAATCCCAGAAACTCTTATGTAAAAATGTTGCCTTCCTCAAGCACAGAAATATCTGGGCTAATATTAAGTAATTAAGTACAACAGAGGAGCATGCTTCCAGTAGACTGTCATGTTTCAAGTGATCCATGGTAAGATAGAGCATGAAACTTTGTACTCGGGCCATGTGACGTTATGCAGTAATGATATTATATGCTATTATCAAGATATACTGACTGTGAGACATATCACAAAATCTACAAAGTTCCTTGCTATGTGATTCATAATGATAAAAGTGCTGTATAAATTTCTGTCTTTCTTTTGTTGCATTGTGAATACTTTTCCACATTGAAGAAGTCTTCCTTGATACATTTAATACTTACTGAATTTATTTATTGAATTATAGCTAATGCCTAATTTGTTTATTTATACATTTAAAATAGATGAATTACATAAATTGAGTATTTTCAAATAGTTGTTTGGGTTCACCACAAGAGAACGCTGATTGCATGTAACTGAAAATTATTTTAAATAACAATGGAAAACTACTTGCTAGATTTATTTTAGGTGTTCATTAAGTTCTTAGAAAAATTTTAAAATGTCAAACGTTCTTGAAAGGATTCGACTGGGGGTTTGCACCAGAAAAATGTTTTGAGCTTTCTCAAAGTGGTGTAAATAGACAAAATTCATGGCGGCACTCATTGGGTATTTTTTTCAATGTGGCAGTGTGGCCAGTTTTGAGGGTTTAGATGGCTTCTGGCATTATGTTTTTCAACTTTGTGGAAAAGATTGCAGAAATTCCCCTTTGCACTTAATTGACTAATTTTAGACAAATGGTACAAGACATGCCATGATGTCTTATGTTGACTTGAACACATAATTCAAACAGATTTCTCAAACATAGGCCCATAATTTTCCGTGAATACAATCTTCCATTAACTAGTCTTGCCCTTTCCTGTCTAACCTTGACTGTTTCATGTGACTGCTTGTTTAAAATGTATGCTGATAACAGCGTGTTGAGGGAAATGAGTTAGCGGATGTATTTTTGTATTTTTTTAATTACACATTGTCACATGTAAAGAAGGTAAGGTTAGTGAACCAGATGGGCTTTTATAACAATCAACAGTAGTTATGTGGTCACCCTTAATTATAGATTTTAGTGAATAGGGAAAGCAATTATGTATAACCTAAACTAGCAGATTGAAGGATTGAAAGATTAATGGTTTAATGACTGTGATGAAAGTGTAAATGTGATTAGGTGAATTCAATGTCAATTCAGGTACAGAGAGGGAAAGAATGAGGGTAAAATTCAGATTGAAGTAAGGAAGCATGGGTAAAATAAAGAGATTGAAGGACTTTTTTAAAAATAACTAATAACTAATACAATGAAGGCATCCTAGCTTATCGTCAGACTGACACGACCTTTCTGTGGTACATTTAGTTCATATTTCTGTGCAAGTGCATTTGCATGATCAGGGAAACGGCAGGCTGCCATTTTCGAGACATCACGCTGACATCAACTTTTCAATTTCCTGTTTAGTCATATACCTGCCCACCCTGGTAGTTGCTGTACCTTATGTCCATGAATGTTGTGTGCAAATTAGGAGACATGAATCTACAAAGAAGAGATCAGGCTGTGGCTTTGCAGACTTGAGGGGGTCCCGTAGTAGGCTCATCCTGATGCCAGTTCCCTGCAGCATTTTGTCACTGCTTGTTTGGAGGTACATTCCAGCACTGCTGTTATAAAATTTAATACAAGAACTTTAATTTGTCTTTTCTATTTTGTTTCTTTGTATAGGCTGGTACAGAGGATTTGTTTTAAAAAGTCCAAGTATTAAGGTGTGTATATTGGAATGTTTTTCATTTTGTACCTCGATGGTACCTAACGGTTTCTTTTTGCAACAGCTCTTAATCATAGAATCCCTATGATGCAGAAAGAGGCATTCGGTCCGTCAAGTCTGCACCAATGTTCCGAAGACCACAACAACCCCCTGCCCTATTCCTGTAAACCTGCATTTAGCATGGCTAATCCACCTAGCCTGCTCATCCCTAGTCACTACAGAGTAATTTAGCATGGCCAATTTATCCAACCTGCACATTTTTGGACTGTGGGAGGAAACTGGAGCACCCGCCAAAAACCTATGCAGACAATCACCCAAGGCTGGAATTGAACGTGGGTCCCTGGTGTTGTGAGGCAGCAGTGCTGACTACTGAGCCATCGTCTCATCCACAATGCCCTGAATTCTTCACGCTTTTCCAATGTAAAAAATAAACTTGTGTCCTCTGACAATTGCCCAAGGTTTGGTTCAAAGTACTGATATTTTTAAAAAAAAACTTTAGAAAATTTACAATTAGAAGTGAAAGTTTTTTTTTACTTGTTCCTGTTTTGTATACCAGCCAGTTTGTTTTCACCATCACTGTTGATATTATTGTGTTTTAGTGGTCTAGTCCATGGTGTTAATTCTCCACCAAATGAAGTCACAATTATTCAAAAAAGAAACTTGCACAGTCAGCAGGTTATAAGCTGGATGCACACCAGGCTTTAGTATTGAGCAGAAAAATTGTTTTTGATCTATCATGCATTCATTATTACCAGTGGTAATTCAAAATTAACAAATTGAGGTTTACATTGCAAGTTGTGTTAAGTGTCGCTTATTTGTAACATGTGGTTCGTAATAATGAATTGTGTGTCCTAGAAGTAAGAAGGCTGCTTCAAACATAAAATATTTCATTTTTTTTTATAGGGAATTTTCCCAGCTACCTACATTCACTTGAAAAATGCAAATGTCAAAAACAAAGGGTAAGTTCAATGTCAAAACATAATAGAAAAGACTGTGTTTGCTGTATTGGCTACCCAAGTAGCATTAGGATTTTTTTTGTAAAATATTGATTTGCACAGTTCTCATACTGAATTGCTACAGTAATTACCATTATCACAGATCCACACAGGAAAAAAATTGTTTTATGTAACCAAACAAAACATTCTCCATGGTCTGTAATTGTTCTCCATTTGTGATCAAATGAGCTGCCAACTGGAGGCTTTCAAGAACAACATTTGAGAGGGTATTATGCCCTGAAAATTATTTTCTTCATAGGATTTCTAAAGACAACAATAAACATGATGAGCAGAAATAGCTGCTGCATTTCCTTCTATATCCAAGTGCTAAGTGCACATAATAAGTGTGGTTGACAATTGCATTCTCTTATCCATTGAATAACTTGCTCTCAACGAAGAATGTGCGACATGAATTCCACTCCTACCTCATCCAATCTCTCCCTGACAGCAGTCGCGTATCTTTATACGTGATTTATACATGTTATAACCCAGTTAGGAAGGGTGAACTGATTCATTTTCATGTCCTACTCTTCCACTGGCCACAAAAAGTTTAAACTAAAAAAGGAAGATGATATTGCTAATTCCATGAGTTATTGATATGAAATTACTTGATCGTACAGGACTTAAACATTGCTAAAAGGATAGAGGAAGTCAAAGCTAAAGTTCAAGCTCTGGAAAAATGACTTGCAGATTCTTCAAATTCTAGTCTGCAGCCAAAATCACTTGTCCCACCAGCTATTGGCACTGTGGTTTTCTCTTGGATACTTTATGGCCGGTTGAACTTTTTTTTATCGAGCAACAGTTGTGTAGTTTCAGACTTTTCCTTGAAGAGCACTCCATTTGTGATGATTGCACGTCACACTCTTGAGAGAAATTTCAAAGGAAGAGGGAGATGACAAAGGCTATTGCTCCTCTGTCACATTCTCTGACTGTGTTCAAACCATTTCTTTTTTTAATACTCACCTGCTGGAGGATGGCCCTCCCTCAGAATGTGCTTCAGATTCACTCTCTGTCCAAGCAACTACTTCCTTGCAAATACAATGTTATTGCTGCTGTAGCTGTATCTTTTGCTTTGAAAAGCATTCTTTTCATGAGGTTCAAAATATATGTATATCTATGTCCATTCCATAACCAGGTTTTCATAACCAGGTTTCCCAGGTTTTTTTGATGCCTTTAATCCAAGCCTTTTTGATGGCAACTGTTGACTTTGCATTTTTTTTTGTTTTGGATTTCTGCCACTTGAATAATAAAACATGAAACTGAATAGTTAATTGGCTGCATGATCACTAACTTGATGCTGAATTTTGAAAGGTTAAAACACAAGTACAGATAACAAAAAAACCTTCTTAATATGACCTCCTTAATCCGTTAATTTCATAGTTTTGATGATAAGAAATAATGCATTTAAATCTAATGTTGTTTCTGGGACTAAACTTAAATACTTTGCTGGTTAGAGCATAATTCAGCCTTAACTTTCTGCACAAATCTTGGAATTTCCTTTGGGGTTATCAAGGCATGCAATAAACAGGGCTAAGTGATCAGGCCAAGGATTTGTAGTCTAGCCACACCCAGTCATGAATGTAATGGACAATTAAACAATTAAACAGAGAAGGAGGAGGCTCTACAAATAACCTCTTTGTCATGATGGTGGAGCCCAGCATGTCAGTGAAAAGAATAGGCTGAAACATTTGTATCTCTCTTCAGCCAGATGTGTCAAACGGATGATCCATCTTGGCCTGTCCCTGAGGTTTCCAGCATCAGATGTCAGCCTTCAGTTCTCACACATGATATCAAGAAACAGCTGGATACCACAAAGCCAAGGACCCTGATAACATTTTGGCAATTTATACTGAAGACTATTGCTGCAGAACTTGCCACACCTCCTAGCCAAGCTGTTCCAGCAGAGCGACAACACTGGCACCTACCCAACAATGCAGAAACTTGGGCAGCCACACAAAATGCAGAACAAATCCAACCCAGCCAATTATTGCTCAATCAGTCTACTGTCAATCATCAGCAAAGTTATCAACAGTGCTGTCAAACAGTATTTGGTTAGCAATAAACCACCCACTGACACTCAGTTTGAGTTCTGCCAGGGCCATTCAGCTCCTGACATCATTGTAACATTGATTTTAAACATGAGCAAAACTTCTCAACTACAGAGGAGAGGCATAAGTAATTGTCTTTGACACTCAGTATTTGACCAAGTGTGGCAAAATAAAATCAAGATGGAAGTCAGTGGGAACGGAGGTGAAATTCTCTACCGACTAGAGTCCTAACAGGAAGAAAAACAGATGGTCGTGGTTGTTGGAGGTCAATGAACTTAGTCTCAGAACATATCTGCAGGAAGCCCCCCGGGTAGGGACTTGGCACAAACTATTTTCAGCAGCATAATGACCAATCTGTCTCTGTCTGTCTCTGTCTCTGTCTCTCTCTCTCTCTCTGTCAGTCATGAAGGGCATAGGTAAGTAAATAGCCAAGGTCTTTTTCCTAGGGTGGAGGAATCCAAAACTAGAGGGCACAGGCTTAAGGTGAGAGGGGAAAGATTTTAAAAGGGACCTGAGGGGCAACTTTTTCTCACAGGGTGGCGTGCGTATGGAACAAGCTGCCAGAGGAAGTGGTAGAGGTGAGTACATTTACAACATTTAAAGCATTTGGGCAGGTACATGGATAGGAAAGGTTAAAAAGGATATGGGCCAAATGCAGGCAAATGGGACTGGTTCAGTTTAGGAAGCCTAGTCAGCATCGAGTTGGGCTGAAGGTCTGTTTCTGTGCTGCATGACTTGATATCTGTCTCTGTCCCTGTCCCTCTGTGTCTCTGTCTCTATCTTCCCCAGCCACCCTGCCAGCACAAGGTCAGATGAGGATGCTTGCTCATGTTTCCCACCATTTGTGAATAATCAAATGTGCAAACTGTAAGACCTGAAATAAGAATAAGACGGTGGAAAACCTAGCAAGTTGGCTCACGTCTGTAGAGCAAAACAGGGTTGACATTTTAGCTTATCAATAATTTCATCAACGTATCTGACCATCTCCACTTCACAGTCAATGGCATTACCACTACTGGATCTCTCACTGTCGAAATCTGGGAGTTACCATTCACCAAAAACTGAACTGGACTCACCATATAAGTATCTTAGCTACAACAGCAGGGGCAGGAGTTTTGTACTGAGTAACACATCTGTCTCCGGAAAGCTAGTCTGCCACTACTGTGCATGAATCAATAGTGAGATGGACTACTCTCTACTTGCCTGATGAATGTTACATCAATGACACTCGGGAAGCTCAATGCCATCCAGGATGAAGCAGCCCATTGGCACTCCCACTCACCACCTAAAACATTGACTTTCTCCGCTACTGATGCACAGTGGCAACAGTGTGTATCACCTACAAGATGCACTGCAATGATTCTCAAAGATATCCTTGATAGCACCTTCCACTTCCAGACCTCAACTACCTGGAAAAACAAGGGCAGCAGATGTATGGAAGCACTCCCTGCAAGTTCCCCTCAATGCCACACAACATCCTGACTTGAAAGTATAATCACATTTATTTTCTCTTTCTGGGTCAAAATTCCGGAAAATACTTCCTAACAGAATGTTGGTGTTCTTATGCAACATGAGCTGCAGCAATACAAGAAGGTAGCTTAACGCCATCTTCTCCAGAGCAATTAAGGATGGACAACAAATGGTGGTTTGACTTCTGACACACACATCCTGCAAGCAAATTAATTTTAAAAATAATTCTCCTTGACCTTCCGCCTAAATTTAACAGTAAAATCTATACGGTCAATTCCTTGATATCAATGCTAGAATACACATGTTCATGACCCCATTGCTCACCATGCCAATCTGCATGGTTAGTAGCAGTTATCTTGTTTAAATACACCCAATAGGTGCTGGAGTTAACAGAAGTTCGTCACTGGCATTTGTTAAATTGTTGAAATTACGAACAGGCTGGTGACTCTTTTCTTGTAGTAGAGGCCTCTGTGTCCTAATGTTCAGTACTCCATCTCTCCTTTCCTTTTGGAGGAACAATGAAGATGTTATTTTTCAAACAAAATTTATCTTTTGACCATAGTCAAACTTGAGTGCCCAGGTGGGTCCCGCATCTACCTGGGTACTGAGATTAACAGTCTGGTAAACTGTTTTAATTTGGCATAACCTGGATTCTCGTGGTCTGCAAGATTAGCAACAAAGAAGAGGGAGCATTAGAAACCCATTTCCAGCTATGGTCTATTCCCTATCCCTTTCTGATACCAATGACCTGGTTTTGAGATTGGTGGTGACTGTCCTCCTAACAAGACCCCATTTAGATCAGCAGAAAGCATCATTCTCTGACTTAATTCCTCTATTGTACTTGGAGGAGACACTTGTGAGACCTCTGCTGGAATTTTGTGTACAGTTCTGGGTGCAACCTTACAGTGAAGATGTGAACAAATTGGAGAGAGTGCAGAAGCGGGTTACAAGAATAGTTCATGGGATGAGAACTTTCAGTTTTGAGGATAGATTGAAGAGATTGGGACCGTCTTCCTTTGAGTGAAGGTGGCTGAGAGGAGATTTAATAGAGGTTTCAAAATCATGAGTGGGCTGGTAGAGAAGGTAAGGAGAGCCTGTTCCTGCTCTTAAAAGAAGCAAGACCTAGATGGCTTAGATTTAAAGTGTTGTGCAAAAGAAGCAAAGGGGATATGAGAAAAGAAAAGGTTTTTCACACAGTGAGTAGTTAGAGGATGGAATGAGCTGCCTGGAAGTTGGATAGAAGCAGGTTCAATCAAAGCATTCCAGAGGGTATTGGATGATTTTTTGGATAGAAATAGTGTATAAGGAAAAAGCAGGAAATTGGCAACAATGCTCGTTTGAAGAGCAAGCGCAGGCACGATGGGCTGAATGGCATCCTCCTGCGCCATAACAATTGTGATTCTGTGAAATGCTGCACTTAAATGTGACAGTGAGTCACAGGACCTGTTGATTTTGACCCAGTGATTATTGTTCCCATTGTCCACAAGTCTATCTATCAAGTGATGAATTTGAGGCAACACAGGTTCTTAAATGTTAACTCAATAATTTGGGTCTCTGCTGGGTGACAGGTAGCATAAAAAACATCTTTTGGATATGCTGTATATTTATCCAAACAAAGTTTACGGAATTTAAATAGGTTTAAAAAAAAACAAGAAAGGAAATAGGTTGGATTGCTGCTTCATAAACCACTCTAAAAACTGGGGAAAATTTATGCTGAGATCCAAAAATATAACTTGAGCTTATTGGATTCTACATCATAAGCAAAGAATGAAGGAGTTGAACTTGATTTATGATCATCTCTATACTGTACTCAACTGAATGGGTAGCTGCATTTACCACAGGGAAATCTCGCTTGGTGCAGTTGTGTTTTGTACAATCTGAGCATCTTTGTTGAATGCATCTTTCAAGAAATTGTTAAATGTTAATATATTTAGGAATGTTGTGTAGTCGCTTGTAGGACTTGATGAAGTATAACATTTTGAGTGGAATTGTTTTAGTCAATGGAATGATTTTCCATCCTTTAAGTTAACAAGGTCGAATTTTAAATTGTTCTCTAATTTTAAAGAACTAAAATGCACAGCTTCAAAGTGAAACAGCCCAGTAATTTTGTGACATGTTGCAAATGTATGACAGTCAGCTCATGGATGATGTATTCTTTCACAACCACAGGCAATTTGAAACAATCATTCCAACAGAAGACACTGTCATCACAGAAATGACAGGAACTTTACGAGAATGGGGGATTATGTGGAAACAGCTTTATGTGGTAATAGTTTTTTTTTCCTTTTTGATCCCATTATATCCTGAGATATACTGATGAGTTAATGAGTCTTCTCCAATTCTGCACATTTTCCCTGACTTGAATCCAGACGAGCATAGTATTGTGATCTTTCTATTAATGAATTAAATATTGCAGATGCACAATAACCTGTGGGACCACAGGAATTTTACAGTAATTCTGTCATTGTTTTCGTAGAGAAATAATCAGGTTGAATGAGCAGCACATCCAGTTAATCACACGTTTAAAAATAGATAAGCTTTAATGAATCATCGCACATTGATATTCTTCTCACAAATGAAAATTTTTGACACTTGCATACTGTTTGAATAGGCAGACAAGACATCTTTATTAATTCTGACAGTTGAAGCGGCAACAGTGTGGGTTAAATACCAAATCATTTTTGTACTGCTAGTGGGTTAGTAGGTTGAAAATATAAATACATTAAATTATATTCATGGGTTTAAAAATTATACCTTTCTGATTGGCATACTTGTTAGACTTCAATAATCAACAGGAACATTGTGTTTTGTTTTAACTTCAATAACATTTCTTTTGGAGAAGGCTATTTAATTAAATATAATCGAGACTACAGAAATTTTTGTGAAGATAATCTTGTGTGGTGCTTAGCCCCTCTGAATCCTAATAATTAAAGAGTGCTAGTTATAACCGTAACGGCTGTCTGATGAAAGATAGTTTGTCTCCATACATCACAGTTGACAGGAAGTTCAGTACCTCAAAAATAAAACCTTCTAATTTCCTATTCAGCTCTTTGATAGCTTGAGGTATCATTGTAGAGTTGAAAGAGAGAAAAATGTGGTACAATTCATTGATCGGAGTGTTGAACACAATTGCAAAATAGCATTGGCTGTCCAACAATACCCAAAGCTAAATCTCTGCCCGCTTGAAATCTACCCACTGTTTTAGAGATGGTTAAAAGCTGTTGAAGTGTACTTTATTACTGGCTGGGCCATTTCCGGCTGCCTTTATGGGTAAGCTTGGCTTCCACTTCAGGCAAAATGCAATATGTCATGTCACGTTTCTTCATGCCCTTGGCAAGGTTGTGACAACTAAACCAGTACGGTGAAGGGGATTAAAGCAGCAGGGCATCTAAAAATCAGCTGACATAAAATGTATCAATTTCAAGGATAAGGTTGATGCATAGTCTAACCTCCTCCGTTGTGTTTCATTTCTTCTCACACCATTAAAAGGTATAAATCTTTTGTTCTGTTGCTAAAGTAGATATTATTTCTATCTTCTTTCACATTTAAGCCAGAACTGTAGAGCAAGGATTCCATTTTTTATGCTAACATTGTTGGGGGAGAAGATGATTTAAAAGAATATTTCTCATGCTCAAATTAGAAATAATGAGAGGCAAATGGGACGTGGTGGCGTTGTGGTAATGTCACTGGATAAGTAAACCAGAACCACTGGCTAGTGTTTAAGGGATGTAGGTTTGAATCTCACTGTGACAAATGATGATATTTGCTTTCAGAAAAAAATCGGGGATCAAAAGCTTTTGTAATAGTGATCATGTAACTGTCAATTGTAAAAACACATCTGGTTCACTAAAGTGCTTTTGGGAAGGAAATCTGCCAGCCTACATGTGACTCCAGACCTATGGCAGTATAGTTGACTACTAACTGCCCTCTGGGCAATTTGGAACGAACCAAAAAGTATTGGCCTAGTCAATAATGCCCACCTCCCACAAACGAAAGAAAAGATCATTTAATCATTTTCTAGTGTCTTTGTACATTGTTTCATGCTCATTCATTTTAATCTTCAAAATATTAAGTTCCTTAAATGTTGGAAGATGAATATGTGCATGGTAATTTCAAGTATGTAGAAAAACATGCTCTGCTACCATCAAGCAACTGGTTGTGAAGGGACATTTGCTAAAGCCTTGTAATAGGACATGATCAGGAGATGATATGTGGTTTTGGGATAGTAGAAAATTGTAGTTCAGGATGGGAGGGAAGTTGTATTTAAAAAATGGGAAGCTAAACAGTGAAAGTAATGACTTTGGCATTACATTGAGTGGTTTTCTTAGTCCTTGCCCTGTCACTGTTTTAGTAGCGTATTATCCCATTGCCATTATTTTAAGATTTTGAATGTACTACACAGTTTCAGTGAATTTGATAAACACAACAGGACAGAACTAATACTGTCAAGCACTTGTGCACACAGAAGTTGTACCTGTGTTCCAGTCTGTGTCTTCTCAGGATACAATTTTCCAGATCAGATGCACACATCGATAAAATAAAGTCCCAACATTGCCAATAAATGTGTTGATTAAGACCTGTTATTTATACAGTTGTTGAGAGTCTGGCTAGTGCATTAAAACAGAGTCTTACTGGGGTGGGGGGTGGTGGTTGGTTTCAATAATACATTGCTCAGCTTTCTGCTGAATTTAAAAAAATCATAAAATTTTCTGAAATCATAACCACCTGCTTTGAAAAATCTTTATTTAAATCCATTTTCCACATTCCCACGGATACGTGGCATTTCAGGTCAGGAGGACTCTGGAGAAATGCTCAGGTACCATCTGTCACAGACTCGGTTAGTGAGTATTTCAATTGATCAAAAAGGATTGACATCATTTTCATTAAAGGATGCTGATCCAAAGCTGCCAGTCATTTTTTTCTCAGTTACAGGCAAATGCGCAGCATAAAGCTAATATTATCACCAGGTCCAGTTAAAACTGCAGGAGATTGTGGCAAAAATCCTGGGATTTTCTTTACAATGCCTTCAGTTGTCAAGTCCAACTAATCAAAATCTTTTCCTGAAGGTTAAATTGCTTCTTATTTTTTTTCCCATTTCTCCTATTCTGTAGTGCACTTTCTCTTGCACCTCCATTCTAAAATTAACCAAGCCAGCTTTCTTCAATTTGCCAGGGAGGGTGGTCAAGGTGGAAAATCTCAGAACCTTTGAAATGTACGTGGATAAGCGCTTGAAATATCATTACATTCAAAGCCATGGGCCACGTGCTGGCAAGTGGGATTAGTGTAGATAGGTTAGTACAGATTCAATGGGCCAAAGGGCCTCTTCTGTGCTGTATGCCTGTATGATTAATTTACCCCAACATTCTACACAACTCTTAACCTCATGCTGCTGAATTAGGTCCAGATACAGAATGTTGTATAAGGGTATAATCATCTGAAAAGGTTAATGTGAGATAGGCACCGCTCCACCAATATGTTGATCTTAGACTCAGTTGGGTGGGTGGATTGCTCTGGATCTTGAAGGAGTGAGACCTAATGTCATGCTCTTTCTCATAGTCTCTTTTGCAATGAATATCGCACTGAAACCTAATGTTTATCATGCAAGAAAATTCATCTAACTTAAGACAAGAGCTTCTTCTAGTTCAACTACCAGGCAGTTCTCCTCCGCCTCCACTCTAGACCTGTAAGTCCTTATCAGGAATGAGGACTGTGGCAATAATTCTACTCGACGGATCTTAGACCATGATGAACTGTGGTGAGGAGTCAACTTGCAACACAGAACAGGATGCTATTTGGAGGGTTGCAACATATTTTCAGACTGCATATTAGAAACAATTTGTGAACTTTCTGGATTGCAATTAAATGAAAGTAAATGAATTGCTGTTCAGTTGCTTGCCCAGCTCCGGTTACGTGAGAAATGTCCATTTGTTTTTCACTGAGATCTTCAGTAATTTTCACTATAGTTTGAAAACCTCCTTTCATTTGGGAGGGATGGTGAGTAGTGTCAGTGAAGGAAATTTGAAATGGAAAATCTTAACACCACAGCAAAATTTTAGTGGAAAATATTTTGAATGAGTTAGAAGAGTTGAAAAAACACCCATCTTTTCTAGAAAAAGGCAAGAAAGAGAAAATAATGATTGAAAAGTTGTAATGTTGTAGGGGGAACAAAAACAAAGTTGCTGGAAATGCTCAGTAGGTCTGGCAGCATCTGTGAAGGACAAAAGAGAGTTAACGTTTCGGGTCCATTGACTCTTCCTCGGAATATTGTAGGAGGATTCAGATCAATGTGTAAATTACCTCAAAAAAGGCACATCCAAATCTGAAGTACAGATTCCCTTTAGGACTGTGTCCAGATAAATCAGCTGCTGCTAGTATAACTGGGAGCCACATTTCAAAAAATACTTTCCGGTGAAATGCTTTATGCAAAATAAATTGTGTTCTTAAATGATTTTCTACTTCAATATCTATTTGGTATTTAATTGAGAGAACTTTTACCTAATCTCAATCGGTCATCTTAAAGACATTCAGAAAGCTCTGTTGATCATTTAATCCATTGCCTCATTGTCACTGAAAGAGTTAATGTCATTCATTCTTGATTTCCACCCATTGTTTCTAACTGCAATGGTCTGACAAAGAACCTTGTCAATTTTTAATTCTGACAAGGTAAAGATGGCCTGAATCTTTGCCAGAGAGAGGTGAAACAGGCGATGGCTTTATTTTTGCATCAGGATCCCTCTTGTGCTGAGATCGCTGAAAGTTCAGGCTTTTGTGTGGGTGATCTTTCTAATTGGTAGGGTTTGCTGTTCAATTAAGGGGAGTGGGCAGGTACTGAAAGTGAGGGGGCCCTCCAGTTTCAGTGATGCCTGTGCAACAAGCTTAGTTATTGGGAGGGCTCTTCAAGAAGGTGCTGTCCCAGCCATTTTTATTTTAAAAGTTCAACAAAGCAGTAGGCAGGCCACCAGCGGAAATGTCTGTACAGATGTGCTGGTCTTTGAGGGGGTCCAGAGGAGGTTCATAAGAGTGAACAAAGGGCTTGTCATATGAGGAGAGGTTGAGGACTCTGGGTCTGTACTCGATGGAGTTTAGAAGAATGGGTGAAAGCAGTCTCATTGAAACTTGCAGAATACTGAGAGGCCTGGACAGGAGATGACCCAATGGCACAGCCTCGAGTGAAGGGATGATCCTTCAGAACTGAGATGAGGAGGAATGTCTTTGGTAGGAGGGTGGTGAATCTGTGGAATTCCTTGCTGGTGAAGGCTGAAGAAGTCATGTCATTGAATTTATTTAAGAGAGATTCTTGATTATTAAGGAGATGAAGGATTATGGAGAGAAGACAGGAGAATGGGGTTGAGAAGCATGTCAGCTATGATCAAATTGTGGGGCAGACTTGATGGTCCATAAGGCCTAATTCTGCTTCAATATCTTATGGTCGTTGGCTATAACAGCACCCAGGCAGGATGGGTTGGGACAGTCGAGCTGGTTTGCCTGGGGTGCTGATACCATGGCCTGTGGCTAGGTGCCCAGTCAATTGATATGTCCCCCATCAGGTAGGGGAACTGGGGTCTGACTAGAAAGTCCCACTACACCTCTCTTTCAGTGCTCTTCAATATTCTTAATGAATTTAATTGTCCACCCAGCTTGTGTGATGACCATGCTTACCTTCACTCAGAACAGTGTTGCCAAATTGCTGCACAAGCCAATGCTGGCATTTTAGTATACGCTTTGTTCCCCCGTTGCATCAGTCTCCTCTGTTCCCAACATCAGGGGAGCCAGAAAATTCCACTCGATGTCCTTATTTTAGATTTAATTTAATTCTAAATTCACAACTGTGACCTCAAAGACTTAATTTATCCTGGTCTATGTGCATATGTGAATGAGCTTTTCCCTTGACATTGCTAATGCTTCTTAAAATTGCCTTTTACCTCCATTAGTGGTTTTGGGAGTTTTTTTAATTTTAACCATGCTGTGGGATTGTACTAAATTACTTGTGGTTTGTGTTGATTAATTTCTGAAAGGGACTCTTAATTTTTTAGTGTACTAAGTCTTTTATTGTATTTTGCCATTCCTTTGACAGAAGAATGAAGGGGATTTATTCCATAGACTGTGGCACGTGATGAATGAGCTGCTGGATCTGCGTAGGCAGGTTCTTGTGGGACATCTGACACATGATCGGATGAAAGATGTAAAACGTCACATTACAGCTCGCCTGGACTGGGGCAACGAGTAAGTATTCCCTGCAAATTATGGCACTCGGATGTGTAGTGTTTTTATTTCATCTTTGAAATACGACACTGATATAATACGTAATTGCAAATAGAAAATAAAGATGCTAACATCCATATTGTACAGAAAGTGCTAAGGAAACTGATTGGTTGGCTTAATGCGATACTACTGAAAAATAACAGCATTATTAAAGGAACAAATTTGGATTGAAAATCTGGCCCTTGATAATTATGCATAACCTTAATGTCATCTTGCAAAAGGTTTTGTAACACGAGTGCTCTTAGTTCTTAGAAGTGGTCTTATGTTACAAATGCGCAAAGAAAATGAGGTCAGGCACCTTTTTAATTGGTGTGGTTCTTTCTTAAGTAAAATGGAAATTCAAGTTTGTAAATGTCAAGAAACAGGGTTTGAAAATCCATATTTGGGAGTCATGTCAGAGGAATTCAATTAGTCCATTCAGCTCCTCAAGACTGTTCAGCCATTCCATTAGATCTTGGCGTATGTACACCCCAACTCTGTCTGTCAGTGATAGGTTCTTGACTCTGTCTATCAGTGATAGGTTCTCAACTCTCAAAATTTTATTCATCCCAATCTTGAAAATATCAGTTATCCAACAATTGCAAACCAGAAATTTTCACTGCCCTTTATATAGGAAATATGTTTCTTGATTTCACTTCTTCTAATTAGGTTATTCTCTAGCAATTGCTCATCTTGAAATGAGAAATGATCCCTAATGAAAACATACTTTAAAAAGTAAAACTTGTATTTACATAGCATCTTCCACAGCTTCAGGGAAGCAGAAAGTACTTCGCTGCGAATCGCCACTGTAATATAAGAAATAAGGTGACAACTTGCACACAGGAAACTCCCATAAGCTACAATCCAGTCATGTCCATACAATTTGTTTTTTGTGATGATTTGAGTTTCGAATACTAATCAGGACACTGATGATAGCTCTTTCTGACTATTCCACCACCACTACTGCCATTTGAAGTAGTGTGATGGAATCCTTTACATTCACCTGAGAAGGTAGACGAGGCTTTGGTTGAGTGTTTCTTTCAAAAGGTCGCCCCTTCGACCACAGGGCTATACAGAAGTGTCACCCAGATTTTTGTGTTGAAGTTTGAAGAGAAATTTGAACCCATAATTCCTGACTTGGGCAATGTTGCAAGCATTTAAGCCACAGGGAGAGTGAAGATCATAGAATAATAGATTCCCTACAGTGTGGAAACAGGCCCTTCGACCCAACAAGTCCACTCCGACCCTCAGAGCATTCCATCCAGACCCATCCCCCTACCCTTTCCCTGTAACCCACCTAATCTACACATCCCTGAACACTATGGACAATTTACCATGGCCAATCCACCTAGCCTGCACATCTTTAGACTGTGGGAGGAAACCGAAGCACCCAGAGGAAACCCACGCAGACATGGGGAGAATGTGCAAACTCCACACAGCCAGTCGCCCAAAGGTGGAATTGAACCCGGGTCCCAGGCACTGTGAGGCATCAGTGCTAACCACTGTTCAGAAATTAAATGAACAGGATGACTTTAGGGTGAGGAAGTTTCCTCCGCATCTCCCCTGTGATTTGTATGGGAACCTCTTTTTGCACCTAAATGGGCCTTTCAGTTGAGGTTTTGTAGCAGAACTGAATAAGTAGTTGTTTGCAACTCTGCCAAATCCCTCCGAGAATTATGTCTTTCTGTTGTAACCTTTATATAATTCAATTCCCCTCTGGCTAGGACTGATTAACCAATTAGGTAAAGATTGGACATTATTGCGAACAAGTTTAACATTGAAACATGGCTATATGAACTTCAAAACTTGCCACCATTGTCACAATCATCGAGTTTAATTTGAATATTTGAATATTTTCTAGGTAATGTTTATTTTTCATGTGTACTTCAAGGTCAGAGTTAGAAGGGCAAAAAGAAACGGAGGTCGTGCTCATTTAGCTACAATGTTGGAGGCATTGTGCTGGAGTTGTGCTGTGGTCTTTTTGTTCAACAGGTAAATTATTCTGGCAGACCTCACAGGCAGAAGGTTTAGGTTTGCTGGTTAAAGCCCTTTTTGTAAAGCAAGAGATTTTTTGGAACCAGTAATTCTAGGGAAAGATGTCCATTAACTCTATTAGAGATAAAAATTAGTCAGGTGGGTCACAGATCATTGGGTGCATTTTGAAGGTCAGTGACAATTAGATTCTTTCTCTTTGGTGCATCCCATTTTACCCCACTACCATGGAGATAGGTTTCAGGAAACTATCTTTTTGTGTTTGGGGTGTGTGTTTTACTCAGAGACAAACAGTTTAGCTTGGATAAAGAGAGTAAAGATGCTGTAAATCTGAAGTAAAATGGCTGTTAGAAATCAGTGGTATGTCTGAGGTGGAGTCACTGAACACGAACAAGTGAGGCCATTTTTCAAAGATAACAAGGTGTAGAGCTGGATGAACACAGCAGGCCGAGCAGCATCAGAGCAGCAGGAAGGCTGACGTTTCGGGCCTAGACCCTTCTTCAGAAAACGGGTCTAGGCCCGAAACATCA